TTCACCAACACCAAAATTCAAATTTGATCTTCTTTATTTACTGTCCAATTTTCAAATGTACATGAGGACAAATCTTGGTTTAGGTGTACCTTAGTCCTGAAGCTGGCATCTTTGCTCTTTAACACTTTTAAAGGGTCTGCCACAGATTTGCTAAATGCAGTATCATTTGTTTTCTTGACTGCTGCTTCCATGAGTGTTGATTCTGGATCTAAGTAAAAGCAAATGAAATTTTTGACAACTTCCATCTTCTTTCCATTTATCATGATGCTGTTTATTGGTCCAGTTGTGAGAATTTTCTTTTTCTTTATATTGAGATGCAATCCATATTGAAGGCTATAATCTTTGATCTTCATCAGTAAGTACTTCAAGTCCTCTTTGTTTTCATCAAGAAAGGCTGTGTTATCTGCATATTGCAGGTTGTTGATTGGTCTTCCTCCAATCCTGATGCCATATTCTTCTTCATATAATCAAGTTTCTTAGATTATCTGTTCAGCATACAGACAGAATAAGTATGATGAAAGGATAGAACTCTGATGCATTCCTTTGCTGATTTTAAACCATTCGGTTTTCCCTGGTTCTGTTTGAATGACTGCCTCTTGGTCTATGTACAAGTTACATGTCAGCACAATTAAGTGTTCTGGAATCCCCATTCTTCACAATGTTATCCATACTTTGTTATGATCCACACAGTCAAATGTCTTCGCATAGTCAATAAAACACAAGTAAACATCTTTCTGGTATTCTAGGCCTTCAGCCAAGATCCATCTGATGTCAGCAATGACATCCCTACGTCGTTCCAAAGCCTCTTCTGAATCCAGCTTGTTGATGCACTGCTACTTGTTGATGCACTGCTATTAACCACTTTTGAATTATGTTAAGCTAAATTTTACTTACATCTGATATGAATGACATTGTTCAAAGATTTCCACATTCAATTGGTTCACCTCTCTTTGGAATAGAACACAAGTATGGATTTTTTATCCAGTAGGTTGGCCAAGAAGCTGTCTTCCAAATTTCTTGGCATGAACAAATATGTACTTCTTGTGTACTTCAGTATGGGTTGCATCTCAATGTAAAGAAAATGAAAATCCTCACCACTAGACCAAGAAATAACATCATGATAAATAGAGAAAATACTGATGTTGTCAAAGACTTCATTTTGCTTGGACCCACCATTAACACTCATGGAAATAGCAGTCAAGAAATCAAACGATGTGTTGTATTAGGCAAATATGCTACACAAGGCCTCTTCAAGTTGTTGAAGAGCAAAGAAGTCAGTTTGAAAACTCAGGTGAGCTTGATCCAAGCCACAGTATTTTCAATAGCATTATATGCATGTGAGGAGTCCTGGTGTGGCGCTGTGGGTTAATGCTCCAGACCGCAAAGCCGTCTGAACTGCAAGATCAGCAGTTCAAGCTTACCAGCTGCTCCTCGGAAACCCTATACAGGGTCGCTATGGGTCAGAATTGACTGGATGGCACTTCACAACAACAACATGTGCCTGTGAAGACCATAGGAGAACAGATGCATTTGAGTTACACTGTTGTAGAAGAATATTAAACATACCATAGAGTGTTTGTTGTTATTAGGTGTCGTCTAGTTGGTACTAACTCATAGCAACCTTATGCACAACAGAATGAAACAGTGCTCAATCCAATGCCAACCTCACATTGCTTGCTTGAGTCCATTTTTCCAATCTACCTCGTTGGGGGTCTTCCTCTTTTTTGCTGACCTTCCACTTTACCAAGCATAATGTCCTTCTCCAGCGACTGGTCCCTCTTGATAATATTAATGGATGTTTAGAGCTGTTTCTCATCATTTTGAGTTGAGCGCATCAGCAAATGAAGGTTCTGAAAGCTTACTCCATTTGAGTCATCACAGTCATCTCTACTAAGGGGAGCCAGCTCTTCCCCAGTTGTATTTTTTGAGTGCCTTTTAACCTGAGGGGCTCATCCTCTGGCACTATATCTGACAATATCCTGGTGCTATTCATCATGTTTCCATATTCAACATACTGGTGCTATCTGACAGTGTTCCACCATTATTCATGAGATTTTCAGAGACTAAATATTTGAAAGTGGTCCATCTCTCCTTCTTCCTAGTCTGTCTTAATCTGGAAGCTCAGCTGAAACCTGTCCACCATGGGTGATCCTGCTAGTATTTAGAATATCGGTGGCATAGCTTCCAGAATCACAGCAACACAGAACCCACCAGAGTACTATAAACTGACTGCCATGCTCCTTAGAAGTACAGCCACAATGCTTCTTAGAAACTAGGATGGTGAGACTTCATCTTTCATACTTTGGACATAATATCAGAAGGGATCAGTCCCTAGAGAAGGACATCATGCTTGATAAAATGGAGCATCAGCAAAAAAGAGGAAGATTCCCAAGGAGATGAACTGGCACAGTGGCAGCAGCAATGGGCTCAAATGTAGTAACAATTGTGAGGATGGCACAGGATTGGGCAGTGTTTTGTTCTGTTGTGCACTATGAATAGAAAACAACTTGTGGGCATCTAACAACAATAAGCCTCCATGATCCTCCTGTGTCCTTCGAGAAAATCTATCAAGATAAATCCTTTGGGATTCCCCAAAACAGTTGCCATAATCTTCTGAGCTGACCTCTCTACCTTGAAATGGCCAGCCACTGTTTGGATTAGATCTTTTTTTTTTTAAAGACATTGTAACAATACTAAGATAAGTGTATTCCTGGGATAACTTGTTTGAAGCCATCCAGTGATCCCAGAGACATGTTTAAACATGTTTTGTTTTTAATAAAATCGTGCATGTATGGACTGAAACCTAACAGTAATAATTTTTGACTTGTTCTTGTTAGGTGCCATCGAGTCGGCACCGACTCATAGTGACCCTATGCACAGCAGAACGAAACACTGCCCGATCCTGGGCCAACCTCTCTACTGTTGCCACACTTGAGTCCATCAATGCTGACACCTGGCCAATCCATCTCGTTGGGGGTCTTCCTCTTTTTCTCTGACCCTCCATCTCTTACCAAGCATGATATCCTTCTCTAGCGACTGTTCCCTTTTTGACTTGGAGAGAGATTAATCAATGTGACAAAATACTAGAAATTGATGAAAGATGTATATATATTCATTTTTCTATTTTTTAAATTATTTTCAAAGTTAGAAAATTTGCAAAATAATTATCAGTTTGGGGGGGAGTAGATAAACTATGCTGAGCTTTTGTGGGTGTAACAACAGGTGTCTGCGCCCTTTAAGATCTAGTCCGCCCCTTACATGTCATTTTAAGCCCCTCCCACCCCGGAAGAGTTCTATCTATGCCCTTCCCCTTCCCTAGGGCTCCTCCTTCCCCCCCCCCGCCTGCCCCGCCCCCGCTCACACAAAACTCTCCCCTGGCACCATGGGACCCGCCCTGGAGCCATCGCCTCCGCCCTAAACCCGCCTCAAAACCCTCGGCCCCGCCCAGGCCCCTCCCCAGGTGCCGGCGGCCCCGCCCGCCCGCCGTGGTGGAGCGCAGTCACGTGAGCCGGGGCTTCGGCGCTCCGCTGTGTGCTGTCATGGTGGTCCTGGTGTACGGCTCTCCGGGCGGCCGCCTGACTCAGGCGCTGACGCGAGTATTGGTACTGGTCCAGCTGGTCGGGGTGTTCCTGAGCGGCATGACGGGCGCAATCGCGCCCATGGGGCGCCGCTGGGGGCCGGACGGGCCGGTGCAGCCCATCGCTCGCACCCGCTCGGTGCTCCTAGACACAAAGACTGGACAACTAAGCCTGGTGGACGGCCGCCGATCTGACGCGGTGGCTTGGGCCAACCTCACTAACGCCATTCACGAGACTGGGTAAGGGTTGGCCTGGCCCCGCGCGGGGCCGACTACGGAGGAGGTTCTTGAGCACTGGGCGTTTACTTCGACCGGAGGTGGCGGTACTCCAGGGGCCAACCTCCTTCCGGCTCAATTCCCCACCTCAGAGCCTGCAGCACCCCTATGTGAACCAGGTCCCTGATGGGGGCGCTAATGCAACATCCCTCACCTCGTGGGGGCCATCTGAGAATGATGTACCTCTGTTGCTGTAGAGACCAGTGTCCCACCTGGAGGCTTCGGTACCCTGTCTGGATCAGACCTCACATCCACCCCACCCCACCCTAACCTTGAAGGCCAGTCTCCTGATCCAGGGCCTGAGTAGTTATGAAAGATCTCCAGGAGCCAGTCCCTGCATCTCATCCAAAATCGGGCAGCTGGACTGAGCCTGGGCTCTGGAGTATCCCTACGTTTACACAGACTCTCTCCTGTCCCTGACCAGGCACTTATCTGCAGACTTTCCGTGTGACTAGTTCTACTGTGTGACTTTTAATCTAACTCCTGTGCCTGTCTGACTTTCCACAACCTCCTCTGTGACTCAAGAGTTTTAGGATTTGTTCTGGCAGGGAGGTTGTGGGAAGCCCTTAGAACCTACACAAGGGATGGGCTAAGCCTTTCAGTCTTGTGCCTCATTAAGCATTCCTTCATTCATTCTCTGGGAGCTTGATGTTGGGGTCACAGAGCTGAGGAAGGTGAGAGTTCCTGCTCTATGGGGAAGGCAGTGTCTGAAAGGGAAGCAGAGTCAGTGGGAAAGGGGAGGACAGCAGGGCCCAGCATTTTGGGAATCCTTAAATCCCCCCAACTCCATCCTGGGCTTTTCTTTGTGACCACTGCCTCCTTCAGCAGGCATGGCCTCTTTCCATGGCAGCCTCCACTTGTTTTGCTAGCATGCATTGTTTCCTGTAAGTGTTGGGGAGACACGGGACAATGAGGACACTCGTTTCTCTACTTTATGACTTGGGGGTTATCAGACAGGCAAGGGAGAGATGTGCTGCAGACAAGAGTGACTAGGACAGTTCTGAGAGGACTTCTAGGGAGAGGAAGCCACAGTGTGGCCTGGCTTCTTTGGAGAAAACAAAGCCTAGGGCTGACGGCAGAAATGGCCACGACTTGGGGCTCTGGTGGACCCATTTCCTGCTGACTCACACAGGGAACATGCCAGCCCTCTGCTAGGATGCCAGCTTAGAGGTGGGCACAGAGGTACTGTCAATGTTCAGGAGGCCTATCGTATTCTTAATTATAGAAAGTGGACCCAGGGAATCCTTGATTTTGCAGGATAGACAATCAGACGCAGATAGGCCAGAATCTCCGGGTTCCGAGGCTAACTTCACTGCTATGTGACCTTGGGCAAGTCATTTTACCTCTCTGAACCGGTTTCTTCTCCTGAAAGAAGGGCTCAGAGTCATGGAAATTCAATTGAATTACAGAAAACGTCACTATTTTTGCTGAAGGAAGGAATGAATGAAAAAGAAGTAGATAATTGTTGTCGTTTTACAATTGGGGAAACTGAGGCCTGAGAGTGAACCCAGTTCTTCCTGCTTTCCCCTCACTTTTGTGGAATCTTTTCTGTCTAGCGTCATACTCTCTCCTCTTAGGTTCTCATGACCCTTTCCTTCTGAGCTTCCCAGCATTTGGGGTTATGATGTTGGGGACGTCTTATTTGGGACCCCATTTTACAGAGAAACTGAAACCTTTAGAGAAAACTTCCAGAGAACTCAGCAGTAAGATGAGAGACAGACATCTGGCATGTCCTGGTGCCTAACCAGCAGAATCTCTGATTTTTTTTTTTTTTTTGGAGGATGTGGGTCAAGGATTTGACTGTTCTGTTCACCTGGAATTGGGGTTCTTTCTCTCCCCCAGATTTGGCTGACAATCCTGAGATAGTCAGAAAAGATCACACTCCCTCCACCAATCGTCCTTCCTCTTTCAATTGTTACTCTGGACCCGCACCCCCAAGCAACAATTAGGGTTTGATGCTTGCAGATCAGAAGTACTCAGGTTCCCTCCTGTTCCCTCCTGTTTCTGATCTTGCTCCTGGGAAGGCCGAAACCTCCAACTTGACTTTTTCTTCCATCTCTGACTTGATTGTGTCAACCAGCCCCTTCGGCACTATTTGAAGTCAATCACAATCCAGCTGGACCGAACCAAACCTGTTACCATTGAGTCTGACTCGTGGCAATACCATGTGTTAGGGTAGAGCAGAACTCTGTCAGATTTTCTTGGCTGTAAGTAGATCCTCACGTCTTTCTTTTGCGGTGCCGCTGGGTGGGTTCAAACTGCCAACCTTTTGGGGAGCAACCAAGTATAAACTGTTTGTATCAAGTAAATAAAAATGGGAGGGAATTAACAAGCAGCATCTGGTGTGGTACTGTAGGATAAGCACTGGACTGCAAACCACAAGGTCAGCAGTTCAAACCCACCGGCTCCTCCTCGGAAATCTTACACGGGATTGCTATGAGTCGGAACTTAACAACAAGCAGCATCAGATAGGTGGTCTATACAACTCTGGTTTTCCTAGAGCACCTTGGGTAGGGGAGACTCCCACAGTGCTAAGTAGGTCAGCAGTTAGAACCCACTAGGTGCTCTATGGGTTGTTTTCTCCTGGTGATGGCAAAGGTACAAGAAGGCAAGTGGAAACACGAGTCCTTTTAAAGGCTAATCTTAGAGCGGGCACACTGGCACTTCCACCCACATGCCATTGCCCAAACCAAAAGTTGATTACAACGCAGAGCAACCCCACAGGACAGAGCAGAACGCCCCCAGAGGCCTTCTGAGGCTGTCGTCTTTCCTGAAACAGACTGCCACATCTTTGTCCTATGAATCAGCGTGTGGGTTCAAACCACCCACCTTTTGGTTCACAGCCACGTGCTTTAAACCACTGTGCCACCAGGGCTCCTTTCCACAGCTGAGGACAGGGAAGGACACTTGACCATGGATGGGGGGCAGGGGAACGGGACTGTAAAGGTGCAGAGCAGAAAGTGTGGGCGGGAGGAGACTTGGCTTAGGCCGTGCAGCCTACCACGACAATTATGTAACTGGTGTTTATTTCTGCCTCTTCTGGTGCAATGGGTCAGTAACGGTCTGCCTTGTCAAAACAACAAAATGGCAGTATTGTCAGATGGTGAGGATTCAGTGACTTAATAACAGACAGGAAGGGGCTAGCGCAGTGCCTGGCTAAGAGGACTCCCTGGGCATGTTCCACGTGAACCAGTGGTCGTTAACGTTGATTCTGACTCATAGCACCCCTGTGTGTATCAGAGTAGGACCATACTCCGTAGTGCTCACAATAGCTGTGTTTTTCGGAAGTACAGCGCCAGGCTTTTCTTCTGACACACCTGTAGGTGGACTTCCAGTTGCTAACCTTTGAGACACTCAGGAACTCCTCAGTAAGTGTTAACTGGTATTATTGTTGGTAGTAAAAGTACACATTGGTACAACTTTTTGGAGGGGGCTGTCTGACATTATCTGCTAAAAAATGAAAAGTGTGTGGTGGTACCGTGGGTTAAGCGCTAGACTGATAACCAAACAGTCGGTTGATGCAAACCTACCAGCCACTCTGCAGGAGACAGGAGAGACAGTCTGTCTGTTCCCATAAAGATGCCCAGACTCGGAAACCCTAAGGCGCAGTTTGATTCTGTCCCATTGAGTCGCTATGGGTCAGGATCAAGTTGATGGCAGAGGGTTTGGTTTTGACCCAGCAGTTCTGCTTTTAGGGGTTTCATCCAGCATATAAAGACAGACAGACATCCCTGTTGTGAACAGCTGCCCATCACCACCTTGCTAATCACAGTACAAACTGGAGATGGCCTGCAGCCCAATGGACAGTTTTGCCCTTGTCCCTCCCACTGACTGGATGTCCCTCCCCTAGGTGGGCCTTTCTGGAGCTGGGCACAAGTGGCCGTTACAATGACAGCCTGCAGGCCTACGCGGCAGGCATGGTGGAGGCTGCTGTATCTGAGGAGGTAAGGACAACAGTGGGGTACGGGGACCTGGTCTCCCACTACTGGCTGGACTCCCCAGGATGCTTAAGAGGTGTGTGCGGAGTAGACTTAGTCCCTAGACACTCCACCTAGTTGGGAAGAAAAGATTACACATATTCTTTACCATAAAAGACAAACTTTCTGAACCCTCATATATGTAAGCAAGACAAAGCGCTTTAAATTAGGAAGCATAATGATAAAATGAGTATTTCCTACAGGGTTAGATGGGCATGGCTGGAAGTTACCTTTCAGGCCTTGCTCAGTGAGCTCAGTGTTTGGGGAATTACAAACCCTCACCCTTCCTTCCCTGACTGACCCAGGGAAAGTCACTCTTCTGCCCATGCCTCAGTTTCTTCAGTTTCCAAGTGGGGGGTCTTTAGCTCCCAGCACGTGAAGGAAATCAATACTATTCTCCCCCAGCCGGAATGTCAGTGCGTGGTTTTGTTGGTCTGGACCAGGTGTGGCCGATGATCTGTAGTCAGCTGGGCGGGGCTGACCATCCCGGGTGGCCTTGTTCACGTGGCTGGGGCAACATTGTCTTTCCCCTTCTAGCAGGCTAGCCGAGCTTAGTCATACATCAGCCTCTTGGTAAATATGGAGGTCTCTTGAAGCCTGGTTGATACTGGACGGCATTTCGTCCCATAAATTGGGGCAGAAGGGAGATTTGCACATTTGTTCATTGCTGCGTCCTCAGTGTTTAGAACAACGCCTGGCACAGTGTTGTTGTTAAGTGCCATTGAGTCTATCCCGACTCATAGTGACCCTGTATAGTGCTTCCCAAGAGCACCTGGTGGATTTGAACTGCCGACTTTGTGGTTAGCAGTCCAGTGCTGATCCTGCAGCGCAACACCAGGACTCCTGGCATGTAGTAGCTGCTCAGAAAATGATGGGCTGAGCTGCCAGGAGCCAGACTGAATGCACACATACGTGGGGTTCCAGGCAGCAAAGGTGGCATGATGCAGTATACATGCAACTCTGAAGGCTTCAGTTGAGGGAGACTTCAGAGGCGTTGGCCCCAGATAGGGCTAAGAGTGGGTCAGTGAGGGGCCCTCCTGGCCTGCCTGGCAGCCGGGGGGGCCTCAGGGAAGGGAGCAGCCCCAAAGCCTTGTCCTTGCCCATCCCCACCCCTGCAGCTCATCTACATGCACTGGATGAACACTGTGGTGAATTACTGTGGCCCCTTTGAGTATGAAGTTGGCTACTGTGAGAAGCTCAAGAGCTTCCTGGAGGCCAACCTGGAGTGGATGCAGGAAGAGATGGAGCTGAACAGGGACTCCATTTACTGGCACCAGGTGGGTATGGCTGCCAAGTTCGGCACGGTGGAGAGGGGGTGGGGCCTTCCGCCACCGTGGCTGCTGGTCCTCCAGCCAGCCGACAGCCCCGTCTCCCACTCATCTTGGCAGCCTTGTGGCCTGGGCAGCTGCCTAACCACCCTTCTGCATCATTATCTCCCCCCCTCCTAGCTAACCTGCCACTTATCCATCTGTCCAATCTCCAGCTGTCCATCCATCTGTCCGCCTCCTTGATAACACTCCAGTCATCCGTCCTAGTCTTCCTCTTGTCAGAGAGTAACCAGAGACATGATGTCCGTGGTACCCATGGGGCGCCACTCAGTACAGAGCGCAGAGGACGGTGGGGAGGGGAGAAGACCCCAGTTCAGACAATCTGGGCCCAGTGACTTTGGTTTAACTTCCTCCTTGGGTGAGCTCCTGCCTAGCTGGCAGCTGACTGTCAAGTCCCACATGGGGTGTTGTGCCTTTAGGCAGCTGATTGGTCATCAAAAGTGGAAAAACAGTCGGTTATATATAAATTCCTTGAAAAACGTCAAGAGTTGAACTGTGAAGCACATGCAACAGGTTTTCTGTGAAATGGTCCATGAGGCTCCATCTAGCTTCAGCCAGGTTTGCCACATTTCCTTCAGTAGAGTTTTTCAATGTGTACCTGAGAATCTACTTATCCTCTTACTAGAAATAGGCTCTCCCACCTACTGAGTCACCCACCCACTGACCCATCCATCCACTCATCCACCCAGCCTCCCACCTTTCTTCCCTCTCTCCTTTCTATCCACCTTCTATGCATCCATCCATCCATAGCCCACTCACTCATCTAGCTTGTCTGCCCGTCCACCCGCCCACCCACAAGCCTTTCCCTCTGTTCCTCTCATCTGCTCATCCACCCATCGAACCTTCTAGTCACCCATCTGCCCATCTTAGCACAGCGGTCACTTCTTCCATCCACCCACCCTATTGATACACCTCATTTGCTTGCCTGCCCATCTCCGTGGTCTACCTGTCTATGCATCTGCCCTTCCCAGCTGCTTCCTCCTTCCTGGCCCTGTGGGTATCTCTCAGTCCACCCATCGGTTGACCCATGACATCTGCTCAGTGTCATTCCTCCTGAATCTCTTCAGGGGCTGCCCAGTGCCCTCCTGATGGAGCCCTGCTCCTTAGTGTGGTCCCTGCCCTCCTTGCTTCCTGTTGTCTAGCTCCTCCAGCCCCCTCTCAGTTTCCTGAACAAGAGTGTTACCTCTCTCCTCAGGGCATCCAAATATGCTGTTTCTTCTGCCCAGAACACCCCTCCTCCTCCCTTTACCCAGTTAACTCCTACTTAGTCCTCACCTTCAGCTGATCCTGTCTTTTCACCTCAACTGTGAGTACCACAAGGACAAGGGCCACACCTGTTTACTCTCTGCCGTACCTCCAGTGCCTCGCACATAGTAGGTGCCTGGTTAACAAATGTTTGTTGAAGATGTCTGACTCTGTCTTGTCTTATTTATCCACTCCATGCACCTGACTGACATCTGTCATTCCTGCTTCCCCTCCACCATCTAGCCAATTGCTGCTCTCTGTAATTCCCTTCTGTTTAACGTAGCAGCTCAGCTCCCTATCCATCTGTCATTCCTGCCAGCCCATCATCCATCCATTTGTTCTGGTGTCCATCTGTTCATCTGTCCATCCATCCATCTGTTCATTCATCTTATTTGTTCTTCTGATCATTTGTAGGTCTCTTCATCTTTCTCTATCCATCCTTCCATCTATTTATTCCGCTTTTCATCCATCCATTCATCCTCCCATCTATCCATCCATCCATTCATCCTCACATATTTCTGCTCATCCTCCCATAATCTTTCCATCTGTCTGTCCATCCACTTAAACCATCCATCCATCCGTCCATCTTGTAGACACTTTCTAAGCACCTGGTGTATGCCCTTTGGGGGGTGTGGTGATGATACTGCAGACTGTTGAGGCAGAACAGTGACAAAGGCGAGAAGCCAGTCACATGAAACAGGTTTCCCAGGGCAGGAGCTCAGCTAGTGACTACACTCAGAACAGGGAGCCATCGGCAGTAGGCCAGGACTAACTGGGAGGTTTCCTGGAGGCCGGGCTCTGAAGTTGGATAATCTTGGGTTTCTGGAGATGAAGTTAATCAGTTGAAGGCAGTGCATGGCATGGAGGGGTGGGTAGTGGGTTAACGAGGTCCAGGCTGACTGGAGCCAGGAAGGTGTGGTTGAGCCTCCCCTGCTCTTTCTGAGCCCCCAGGTCCTGGGCCCTCCTGTGGGAATAGGAAATGTGGAGCTGGGGAGAAGCCTCATCCTTGCTCTTTTCTTTACCCTCTGCCCTCTGCCCTCAGGTACGGCTGACCCTCCTGCAACTGAAAGGCCTGGAGGACAGCTATGGTGGCCACGTGACCTTCCCAACCGGGAGGTTCACCATCAAACCCTTGGGCTTCCTGTAAGTGCCACCCCCCAAGTGGACAGGGTGGGGAAAAGGGCTTACGCATCTCATCGTCACACATACCTGCTTTGTTGCTTCCTGGCACCCTGATCTCAGACGGGCCGGCTAAATTCCTTCAGCTTCAGCTTTCTCTCCTGTGAAATGGGTACAGTGATCGTACCCACTGCAAATGCAGTGACCCTCTGCTGCACCGACCCTCTTCAGCCTGTTGCAGCTCTCTGGGGACCTGGAAGATCTGGAGCCTGCCCTGAACAAGAGCAAGACCAAGCGTGCCCTGGGCTCAGGCTCCTGCTCGGCCCTCATCAAGCTGCTGCCAGGCCAGCGTGACCTCCTAGTCGCCCACAACACCTGGAACTCCTACCAGAACATGCTGCGCATCATCAAGAAGTATTCCTTCCAGTTCCATGAAAGCCCCCAAGGTGGGTGGGCATGGGTCTGTTGGTGGTGGGTGTAAGAGGACAGGAGGGGATGGTATTCGGCGGTGTGGCCTGGGCAGCCCTTCCTGCCCCCTTATACACTAGGGCCCTAGGGGGCCCCTCTCAGAGGACATCTTGTTTCTTGTTGCTGTTGTTAAGTGCCATCAAGTCAGGTTTGACTCACAGCAACCCTGTATAGGGTTTCCGAGGAGCAGCTGGTGAGTTTGAACCACCGGCCTACAGTTCAAACCGACCTTATCCTACAGCTGCGTTTTTCAAATCTAGTGTGGCGCCATAGGATAAACGCTTGATCTCAAGGTTGGTTTGAATCGAAAAGTCAGTGGTACAAACTCACCAGCTGCTCCTCAGAAACCCTATACAGGGTCGCTGTGAGTCGAACCTCACTTGATGATATGTAACAACAGCAGGATCCTCTGCTGTTGAGTTGATTCTGACTCCTAGCGACCCAAAGTACAGCTGCCTCATGGGGTTTTCCTTCAGAAGCTGTATCATTTAGCTATTGCTGCGTAACATGTCACTCCCAAATGTAAAACAAGCAATGCTGCAAACAACCACCATGTAGGTCAACAGGTGGTTCTCTTGTTCTAGGCCAATGTTGTCGTTCTCTTGTGCTGCTATAACAAATACCACAAGGAGGGGACTTTAACAAACCAAAATTTATTTTCTCACTTCCGTTGAGGGGGCTGGAAGTCTGAATTCAGAGCGTCAGCTCTAGGGGAAGGCTCTGTCTAGATTGGCTCTGGGGACTGCTCCTTGTCTCCTTTGAATTTCTGTCCCTGTTGGCCTTGCCCATCTTCATGTGGCATGACTTCTGTCTTCGCCCGTGTTGTGTGCTTGCTTGTTTAATCTGATGTTTTATATTTCAAAAGAGATTTATTTAAGGCATCAAAAGCGAAACCCTAACTCAGTGCCCTTGAGTTAATTCTGACTCACTGCAATCCTTGAGGTCTCATGGACTGTCAATTCAGACAGAAGCAGACGGCCATGTCCTTCTTCCCTGGAGCAGCTGGTGGATTCGAACCACTGACCTTTCAGTGAGCAGCTGAGAACATAGCCACTGTGCCACCAGGGCTCCCTCCCTTTGCTGAGCCTGCCTCATTAACCTAACAAAAACCCTTTCCCAAATAGGATTATTACCAGAGGTGGTGATGTTATTGTTAAGAGCCAGTAAGTTGATTCCGCCTCAGTGACCCTGTATAGGGTTTTTGAGGAGCAGATGATGGGCTTGAACTGCTGACCTTATGATTCACAGTCCAGTGTTGATCCTACAGCGCCACACCAGGAGTCCACCAGAGAAGCAGAGGTTGGGACTTACAATACATTTTATTTTATGTTGGTAGTTTTTCAATGATTGTTGTATTTTTTTAATTTATTTAAGGTTTGTATTGTGGATTGAGTGAAAGTTTACAGGGCATATCATCAGTTTTACATTCAATGAATCATATACCTTGTTTCATTACATTGATTATAAT